TTAGAAATAAACGCGTAGATGATGTAAACAAAGAAAAAAAAACAAAAATACTTATCGTTCGGAAACCCGTGATCACCTTCTGTAAATGCGCTTAAATATTTCGAACTTTGAGACGCGAAATCATCATACTTGGAAAAGACTACCCTATCACTAGTATGTATCTGGGTATGTCATTTAGGGTAGCCAGCGTAATCTATTATAAAAATATTGGCACTTGGCTACCCTATCACTAGTATGTATTCGGACATATGTGGTATAAATGGGCCAGCCATATCGCATCTCTAACTTCAAACATGAAATTGGTATACACATACCGGTAACTAATAGGCAATAGTTAGATTGTGAAATGGTGCACTTCTGGCATCAAATAGGCTGGCTATAAAAATACCTCCGCTCTTGATGGCAAATAGGTAGTCAAAAAGTAGAATTAAACTTAGTCAGTGATATTGTGTAAGCCATCTAATGAGATTTGTCGTCCTGTTGTAGCAGGACTAGCTTCTAGACCATATCGTTCAAAATCTTCTTTATTAGTTTTGAGGAAAGCACGACCATTAATTTTTTTGCGGGTTTCAGGAATGTTCTGAGAATATTCACGTCACTAGTCCATAACTATGAAAGGGTGTTCAGTACCATAACAGGATCACGTGATCGGCACAGTAAGGCACAGTATAAATTCGCTTAATTTTGACCAGCACTTTCCCATAAATTCGGCCAGATCTTTAGACATAATAATTTGACATCCAAGCTAGCATACAAGTGGCCTGAAACTGGCAAACTAATAGAACCACTCTAGTTTCCTGCCAGTTCTATGACGGTTCTATAACACCATCATGGCACTATCGTGTTGTCAAGCTGGAACCTAAAATCACATTCCTAAAAGATCAGTCAAAATTATGGTATAATACTGGCCAAAATTAATCACGAATTTACTATACCACCTGTCACTTTTTTTTTTATACTACTTCAGTATTTTGAAAGGTAACCAAATAGGTGCACATTACATCCATATTTACTGACCAATAAGTCATAAACAGGGAAAGCAGACCCCATCTTTAGAACATATTAGTCAATGGTTTATAATATCTTAGGTCATATTAATCAATAGATTATAATGTCCTAGTACATCATCAGGAATATTTTTAATGCGAAGTATTGCGTAAGATTTACGATTTGTATACTTATGCAAATATTACAGCGTAAGGTTACGCAATATTTATGTTTTTAGCGTAGTACTTCGCAATATTTACTAATCG